AAGATATCTTTCCGTTATTTTGATACTTTTTATCTCATTCGCGAGCAATACGCGAAATTGCCACCAAATGGACGTGATGGAGTTCAGTTTCTTTCGTGTTTGAAAATCATACGGAACAGAATAAAAGGTGCGACATTATAAGAAATTCTACTCGTGTCTTAATCATGATGTAAAAAGACAGGTGTACCATTGCGCATATAAGGTCAAGTGTCATAACGTAACTTGATTTGATAAATCGATTGTAATGGGCCAATAAGAAATGCCCAGAAGTGCAGAGCGAAGTGGAGCAAATGTATGTACAGCAGTGCAATGTATCACTTTGCAGCCATATTGAATTCTGATATCCTAGGCGATCTCTGATTGGCTCTTTACTTTAGACAACGCGCATCCACAGGAATGATACACTTGTCTTTTTACATCATGGTTCTAATGAATACTAATCAAATATTTTTTTCAATCAAAACCAAAGGGGATTATAATGAAAGATAATGGCTCTTGTACATAGGACACGAAAAAAAGATTGCAGCAAACGAGACGTATATTATCAGTCATGCAATTTTATTTTGTTTTGTATAAAAATTCATTTAGGAATTTGACATTATTAAACGTTATATGTATTAAAATATAAAAAAGTATTAAAGACGATTAAAGATATCCAAAAAAGTCATATTCTTTAGTTATCATATGGATAAGATTATAAGATGACTAGAAGTGTGATATTTGTCGTCTTTTAGTCATCTTTTTTCGTCGACTATATTCTTTCACTAAAAGATATTTTTATAACAATTTAGTCGTCTAGCTTTTAATCATCTGTTAGACGACTTTGTGCTCTGGGTATATCCAATTCAAATCAGTGCAAATTTGCTTGAGTCAAAAACGCTATTACATTAGATTTCGAGTATCCATATATATAAAATTTTTAACGTTTAGATAAAGCGTATTTTACAGTTGGATCGTAAATTTATATCTTTTACGATTAGATTTTTCTATGTTTAGTATGTAATTATATTAATGCGAATTTGTTAAGCATTTATTACGCACTTTTAATTCTTTAAAGAAAAAAGTAATTACTAAGTAAATTCTAAGTTTACGTATGGTAAAGGTGTTACGTAAATAAAATCCGCTTTTATTCTGATTTTATAAGATCATCAAATGATCGATCATTGATATAATAATTTATTTAAATTTAAGCAGCAATTAAATCGATGATATCGTAAGTAAGTTATATAGAGTTTAGTAACCAGCAAAAAGTGTTACGTCAAAATCAAGATAATTTATATAAATTTACAAGATTATATGATTATAGCTAGCATGCAAAGCACTTTTCTACAATCAGATATGTAATGATATTGAAAATATGAAAATTTTATGCATGATTATTTAAATAAAAAAAATCAAGATTGATTTAATAAATTTCTCAAAATCACTTTTGTTTTGAATAATCATACTTTAATAAAAAAAGTAATACATATATATAAGAAGAAATTTAGAAGTAATTGCTACGCCATTGATTATTATTCATTGTCAATTGTTTTACAGTCCTCTGATACATAAGACGGTAATTAACTTCAATTTTTAAATGGCCAACGCAAGAAGGCGCCGAACCGAAAGAGATGTTATATGTTATTATATTATTATAGAATGATATAAGTAATTAATATTTTTAGGTAGACGTAACATTTGTTTTGAGATTTGAAAAAATAAAAATTAGAAATTCGCGAGTCTCGCAACCTCACACTGCCGATAATCTGAAATAAACCCTTAACAGCACAAAGTTGCATCAAAGTTGCAGCGATATTCTGCGCTGTATGGGACTTAATTTTTTTCGCCTTACTATCCTCATATAGTCTTTGTCTCAACACTTCCCTTTCATTCCAAAGATGCTAACCGATCTCGTTATTAAACGGTCGAACGTCTGCAATTATATTATCCATTATCGGCGTCTCGCGCTTTGCTCGGAGGGGACGGTATGCGCTACGGATAATACGAAGCAGCCGCTTAATAGAGACAGACATGGGCTGCGGATAGTATCATAACAGGACGGTATATTTAAGAGAAAACCGCGTGTGATATATATTTTTTGATACGTCTGATATATTTAAACGGAGCGGAAAGAAACTTCGCGCGTCTGCTTAAACATATGCACGCCTATCAGCAACATACTTTCACTAGATTTTCGAATTAGATTGGCCGCTCGATCGGGTTCGTGATACTGTGACCATATTTTTTGCTAAAATGTCAGAGAACGGGATATCAATGTCTGAATTGGTGAGTAACTTTTGTGTACTCTTGAGCAAAAATCGACAAATATTAAAGTACTTCTGTCAGCAGTGTCGCCTTTTTGATTTATATAAAAAAAAAAAAATGTACAGAATATCGGATAAATTAATAAAGATAAATTAAGAAAAATTTTTTCACTTATGATTAAAAAGTAAATTACATTTCTTTACGAATGGAGCATCACAGAATGTAAATTTTTCTTGTATAACTGTATTAATGAATCAATTCTAATAATAAGCCTAATAAAAGACCACTTTAGAACTTGATATTAAAAAGCATACGTCATATTGACGATTGCTAATAAATAAATAATAATTAAAAATTGCAAACCTTCCTCCATATAACAATTTCTAAAGAAAAATTAATTGCGAAATGATCATCAGACAATCTAATTATTATTAATAGATAAAAAATATGATCAAAGCAGAATATATCATAATTAAATAACACTGATTTATAAAAATTTTGTTTCTCCATATCTTAATTTTTATGAAGATTTTTATGTATTTGCAACTACTAACTAAAAAGAATATAAGATTAAAAAATTCTATCGCAGATTTTAAATAATCAAAGATTTTATTTTGGACAAAAAGTATAAATAACTTTTTTCTTTTACTTTATTTATGGAATAAATACATAAGAATTATCATTCAGATTTGAGCAAATCTTCTCAACTAAAAATAAACGTTAAGCGACAACATCGATTCAATGTTTGAATCAGCATAGATTTCCTCCTCATTTTTTGCTATAAATTAATGAAATCGTTCGATAATAAGTATTACCAGTAAATTTTATGTATTTTATGTCACTTAAAATTGTACACTATAAAAGAAACTTTATATCATCACATTTATTTTTATTGTAAAAGAAAGGAGGATACCTTAAAATTGCCAAAATTCTCTCCGAGTAGAAATCTAAAAAACGAATAGTATTTTTCCATAGAATTTTTTAATATATATATGTATGAAAGAAAAAATTAACATTATAATGCTGAAAAGTGCTGTGCAAAGTGTTGATAACAATAAAACATTTTATTGTTATCAGCAATTTTTCTAACGCTTCCTAGCATTATAATAAATATGTACTCCAAATGTTTCGGTTTTCTTTATTTTTGTACAATCAGACTTGTATGCATATTTAATATCTATAATATCATCCATAAATATATAGATATATTAAAATATATACAGGTGGTATTATAAATATTATTTTTTTCTTAATTTCATATCAATGAGAAGTACTGTATGAAATTTGTATTTTAGGTTTCTGTTTGGGGCGAATTTTGGCCATTTTTAGGTACTCTCCTTTATAGTGTTATACATATATTGTGAATATATGTATATTATAAATTTACGTTACTATATATACAAAAACTCAAGGCAGAGTTTCTAAAATTTGAAAAGTGATGGAATTTTTTTAATCACTTTTCATCAAAAAAATATCTCTTTTCAATATGTACAATTCTATAAGAAATATTTATTATTTGTTAATCAAAATTTGTTATTCAATGTAATATGTTGATAACTATAAAAATAAATTGTAAATTATTTAAACTATATAACATATTTATATATATACGTATATATAATATATAGAAAAAAAGTTATAAATATATCTAATAAACAGCGCGGATATTGTTAAATCTTATATTTATCTTTACATTATCGTCGAACGTCAGCTTTATAAAAACCGAAAATCTGAATGAATTTTACGTTATTTATTTTCGATATAATGACATATCGCGAATATTTATCTCGATACATATCTATATTTCGCAATCTTCTTGTATATGTAATTACATTATTTTTCGGATTAATAATAAATACAGGAGCATGTAAATCAAAAGTTCTATCCACAAGTAGCACATGCAGCGTCTATACAAAGCATTAAAAAGACATTAAAAAAATATATTAGCGCTTTACAGGTGCTGCTATGCTACTTGCGTACGTGCGCGCGCGCGCGTATGTGTGTGTGTGAGAGAGAGAGAGAGAGAGAGAGAG